GGAGCGAGAGGAGGGAGACAGACAGACAGACAGAGAGACCCCATTCTCAAGAAGTTTCTGGTTTAGTCCCACCCTGAGCCTTTCCTTCCTGGTCTGGCTTCTGAAGATGGCCTTCTAGCCATAGGCTACCTCCCCAACCCAACTCACTTCTGGCTTAAACCAGCTCAAATTGGTTTCTTTGCTCATATCCAAAGGACTAAGACAGATCCACTTAGAAATTAATTCCTGACATCCTTCATTTCTGTATGAACTTCCACATCAGTGGGAATATTTTTTTTTAAAACACAAAATGCCCCCATTCCACGCCCCACTTGGTGATCTAAAAAAAAAAAATACAGACATTGCAAATCACTTTCTAATGATTCAATTTCACAGTGATGACCCATCTGTCAGGGGGAGAAATGATTTAAAAAATGTCAACCACTTAGAAGGTGATTAGGAGTGATGAGAAGTTGCCTGAGAAGGCATTTGTTTGGATGGGGGAGTGGGGAGGAGGGGTTGGGGACCCTGAGTTGCTCAGAGTGAGAGTCACCCCCTCCCCTTTAGAATAACTCCTGGGGAACCAGAGGGAAGACAAGGAGGGAACTGTCCAAGGTCCCACATCTGAAACCAAGACACGAAGCCCCCTCTCTGACCTCGGCCTCCTTCCTCCAATGAACTCACTCAGACGCCTCCCCCGCCATCCTCTGACCTCGTCCGAACCAGTGAGCCTGGAGGAGCCCAGTCCCCCGGCCAGCCCTCACACATCTAGCTGGATGCACCCACCAACCAGGCAGACCAGTGTCCCCGAGAACTTCGACCACTAACCCCACAGGCCCTCAGCACACCAAGCTAGCACCACCACCATCCTTTCTGAAGTCAGCCTGCCCTCCGGCCCCCACGGCCCTCACTTCAGACTTACACCTCCTCTATCCCCTCTCCCCTTCCCCCCGCCTCATCCTCACAGCCGACCACCTCAGCTCACACTTCTTTTGAGAAGACAAGAGCCGTGCGGTTGGAACTCCAAGCCGTCCCTCCATCCATCCCCAGAGCCTCTGCTCCCACCCCATGGTGACAAAGGACACATACTTCTGGCCCTCATCACCTTCTCTGGACCCCAATCTTTCCAAATAGGCCAGGTGCCTCCAGCATCTCAAATTATCTTCCTACTTTCCCAAACCTCTCCAATCCGCCCAACTTTTACCATGCCTTCTGGCCCGTTTCCAGTCTAACTGGTCTGTGCCCAGCCCACCCTCTACCATTCAGCTGGAGCTGTCCTTTAAGAGTCTAAACATCATCACTGAATGAGTCTCCCACTGGCACCTCCTCCCAGGCCCCAGAGGACCTGATCCTGGCCCCGTCGTGTACCACCTCACCCACTGCGTCCCCACCCACTCACCCCTCCTCTCCCACTCAGCCTCTGCCAGCTCATGCCTGCCCACCCCTCAGAGCACAGGGGCAAATTCACCGCCAAGGAAGGTTCTCTTTGGAAGATTTCTCAACTCTCCCCCCAAATTAAAACGGCCCCTCTACCATTATCCTTCTGCACAGCATTCTGGCCTTTAAAAAAAAAATTATCTGGCTGCACTGGGTCTTAGTTGTGGCATGTGGGTTCTCCCTGACCAGGGATCTAACCTCAGGCTCCCCCCCCCCAGAGTCTAAACATCATCACTGAATGAGTCTCCCACTGGCACCTCCTCCCAGGCCCCAGAGGACCTGATCCTGGCCCCCTCGTGTACCACCTCACCCACTGCGTCCCCACCCACTCACCCCTTCTCTCCCACTCAGCCTCTGCCAGCTCATGCCTGCCCACCCCTCAGAGCACAGGGGCAAATTCACCCCCAAGGAAGGTTCTCTTTGGAAGATTTCTCAACTCTCCCCCCAAATTAAAACGGCCCCTCTACCATTATCCTTCTGCACAGCATCCTGGCCTTTAAAAAAAAAATTATCTGGCTGCACTGGGTCTTAGTTGCGGCATGTGGGTTCTCCCTGACCAGGGATCTAACCTCAGCCCCCCCCCCCCCCCCCACCACTGGAGCTGCGTCTTAGCCACCTGACCACCAGGGAAGTCCCATCCTGCCCTTTGCCTCAGCCTGGGCACTGCCCTTGTCTCGCCCGGGAAGGCATACCAGGAAATCCACCTTATTTGCCCATCATTCATCACAGTGGGTAAAGACAGGTTTCTCTGGTTATTTATTTAATGCTCATCTCTCTTCCCCTAGGACTTCCCTCATGGCTCAGATGGTAAAGAATCTGCCTGCTACGTGGGAGACCTGGGTTTGAGCCTTTCCCCTGGAGGAGGGCATGGCAACCCACTTCTTGCCTGGAGAATCCCATGGTCAGAAGAGCCTGGCGGGCTACAGTCCATGGGGTCGCAAAGAGTCCGACATGACTGAGTTGTTAAGCACATTTCTCTTCCTCCACTGATAATTCATAACGGCGTCTTTTCTTTTTTAACTAAAACACACCCACAACGTGCTGAACGAGTGAAGGAAGGAGAGGAAGCTTGGGCTGGGACGTGTGACTCCTCAGGCCCTGAAAGCCCACTCTGTCTTAGCTAAAAGGAGCCTCAGCCCAGGCACTGTCCTTGCCTCGCCCGGGAAGGCATACCAGGAGATCCACCTTATTTGCAGGTTAACATCCTGCCCTCCCTTCCACGCTCAGCTAAAGAGACCTGCAGTTACTAGAACTTCAGACTGTTCTGTGTGGCTTCTTGGGGTTTCCCAGGTGGTGCTAGTGGTAAAGAACTCGCCTGCTAATGCAGGAGACATAAGAGACACAGGTTCCATCCCTGAGTGGGGAAGATCCCCTGGAGGAGGGCATGGCAACCACTCCAGTGTTCTTGCCTGGAGAATCCCATGGACAGAGGAGCCTGGCAGGGCTGCAGCCCATGGGGTAGCACAGAGTTGGAAGCGATTTAGAATGCACATGTGACTTCTTGAGTTTCTTGAGGAAACTCAACCAGAATAGGTTCCAGGCTACCCAGAGCTGCTTCACATGGGAACCAGTAAAGACTGGAGGGCAAATAAAACCATGCCTCCTGGAACGTGAATGTGGGCGCTATTATTTGGGGAATATATTTCTACAGCTACCTCACTGTACCTATTCCAGCTCTGATATTGCAGAGGACATATTTAGCTCAGGATATAAAAGGCTGGGGTTGCAACAAAATATTATTGAGCTGTAAGAAGGAATGATGTACTGGCACATGCTCCAACACAGATGCACCTTGAAAACATACTAGGTAAAGAAGCAAGTCACAGAGAATCACACATTGTCCAATTCCATTCAAACAAAATGTCCAGAAGAGATAAATTCATAAGATAGAAAGTGGTAGTTGCATGGGGTGGGACTAGGGGGTGAGGGGTAGATTGGGAGGTGACTGCTAAAGGGTCCAGGGTTTCTTTGGGAGTTGATGAGACACTTCTTGAATTTTTAAAAAAGTTCATTTATTTTACTGACTGTGCATATGTGATCTTAGTTCCCTGACCAGGGATCGAACTTCTACCCCTTCAGTAGAAGCTTGGAATCTTACCAGCTCTGATATTGCAGAGGACATATTTAGCTCAGGATATAAAAGGCTGGGGTTGCAACAAAATATTATTGAGCTGTAAGAAGGAATGATGTACCGGCACAAAGAAGCAAGTCACAGAGAATCACACATTGTCCAATTCCATTCATACAAAATGTCCAGAAGAGATAAATTCATAAGATGGAAAGTGGTAGTTGCTTGGGGTGGGACTGGGGGGTGAGGGGTAGATTGGGAGGTGACTGCTAAAGGGTCCAGGGTTTCTTTAGGAGTTGATGAGAGTCTTCTTAAAATTTTTAAAAAGTTCATTTATTTTACTGACTGTGCATATGTGATCTTAGTTCCCTGACCAGGGATCGAACTTCTACCCCTTCAGTAGAAGCTTGGAATCTTAACCACTGGACGGCTAGGGAATTCCCAAGAATGTTCTTAAGTTAATTGCAATGGGAGTTGCACAATTCTGTGACTCTATTGAGACCACTGATTTGTATGATTAAGGGGTGAACTGTATAGTTTGTGATTTATAGCTCAATAAAGCTAGTAAAAAAAAGAAGAAGAAAAGACTAGGGGTATCTGGCAGGGGGAACGAGGTTTCCATGAGCACAAGTATTGGGTTCTTCAGTTGTGACGTTCTTTGCTTTTCCTTTGCTTCTATACTTATTTGAAAAAAAAAAAAAAAAACCCACACCAGTCCATGTGTCAGGATTACAAACCAGAAATCCATGGTACCCTCAGAGGGTAATTAACACTTGATTTTTAAAAGTAGCTTTATAAAATTGGAATCAAATGAACCAAGAATTTCATTTTATGATTTGAAGACACTAGGAAAACAAAGTAAGACTGTCATGTAACATATTTAAAGGCTGTAGGTAAGCATTTGATCTGTTGGCTTAACCCTAGGGATACATTGATAAAATGCCTGTTGGCAGTCCAGAGAATTAGTCATTTTAGAGCCCAAACACAAGACTGGAAGATTAACTAGGAGTCAAGCAATACTCCGTAAACTTACATGACATATCCATAAATTCTAGAGCCTCCTGAAAACTCAGATTAAAATCGTTCTTCTCAGTGACATCCAGTTTATCCCATTTCCTTATTCTTCTCCTTCCCTCCCCTCTTGCTGCCAATCTGATTACTAAAAGCACGTCTCTTTCTTTTTTTTTTTTTTTTGGCCACGTGGCATGCAGGATCTTAGTTTCCCTACTAGGGATCGAGCCCATGTCCCTTGCAGTGGAAGGGCAGAGTCCTAACCACTGAACCGCAGGGAAGTCCAGCTAAAAGCACAAGAAAATTCTATCGCTTATCTGACACAGACATTATAAGCAAGGATGAAGGACAGGAGGAAGGCTCATGAGTATGAGGGAAGACAACCCAGTGTCAGGATGTGTTGGGCAGATGCCGCGACTTGTTGCTCCAAACCTCCTTCTGTTCACACGACCACTGCCTCCCCAGGAGGCAGGTCCCAAACAGCTGGCGGAGGGTGTATCCTTACCACACGCGTAGAAGACCGAGAGGTATTTTTTCACTCCTGGCAGACAGGGGCTTCCGAAGTGGTGGTTGTTGACGAGGATTTTGCATCTCTGCTTCCCATAACATCTCCTGGATAACACGTGCAGAGCCGAGTAAGACAGACAGTCTGAGAGGCAGGAGACATCAAAGACCTTTAGGTTAGAATCCATGTGTGGCTTCGGTTATTTTCTGAGCTGGACTTCACAGTTCATGGAGATCAGCTGTGGTTACTTGATTATTTTCCGTCTCATTAAAAAACCCACAGTGGGCTGAGCACTATACAGGCAGTGCTGGAAGGGCTTGCTTTAATCAGCTTACTCTAATACCCTGCTGTCATCGTCTGAAAATCTATCTCTATATTATATTGTGTTATATAACATGAGAGACTTACTAAAATTTTCTTTTCTCTTTTAGTTTTTATTGGAATATAATTGCTTTATATACTGTGCTAGTTTCTGCTGTTCAACGTGGACCAACTACACATGCACACCCGTCCCCTCCCCCGAGCTTCCCTCTCGCCACCCGGCATCCCAGCCCCCTGGGTCAGCGCCGAGCTCCAGACTGCGCTCCCTGTGCCGCCTGGCAGCCGCCCACTACTGATTTTACACAGAGCGGTGTGCGTCTGGCAGCGCACCTCTTCCGATCCATCGCCCCTCTCGCTCTCCCCCCGCTGTGTCCACGCTTCAGTTCTCTGCATCCGTGTCTCTATTTCTGCCCTGCAAATAGGTTCATCTGTACCATGTTTCTAGACTCTGTGTATATGCGTTAACGTGCAATATCTGTTTTTCTCTTTTTGACTTTACTCTGTGTGACAAGGTGGTCCCACGTCTCTACAAACGAGCCAATCAGAAATCCTTATGCATTTTTGAACAAGGGGCCCTAGATTTGCATTTTACACTGCCTCTGCCCAGTCATGTAACTGGTCTTGCATACACAACAGGCAAAACATGTAGAACACTGAATAAGGATTCTTTCTTTTATTCTTTTAGTTTAGTTATTGGTTACTGCTCTTTGAAACAGTTTAGTTATTGGTTGATTTTGAGAATCCTTCTCTTCTTTGTGAACATAAGCATTATGAGGACAGAGGCTATTTCTATTTTGTTCATCATCTAATTTTTCCGACCTGACCCGCTGTGCAAATCCAATAGCTGATGAATGAATGAATGAAAAACGGACAGGTGGATGAATAAACATGTGGATCACTTTTTCAGGACCCTGGCACAAGGCCTTCACAGTTAAAACATTAACTGAACACGTTTGAAGAGTGAGGCACTGTGCTACATGCAGTCAGGAAAAAACAGCCAAGAGAAGCCCGCCTTGCGTCCACAGGATGTGTGATGGGGCTGAAAGACAAAGCCCACACAGGCGACCTGACGTCTAACAACATGAGACAGAGTGAGTACCAGCAGCGACTGGTTCAGACAGGACGTGATGGGGTCGGAGGACGGGGAGATTGCTGGGGACCAGAGTGGTCAAGACAGGCTTTCCAGAGGAGGGGGCTTGGTCCTTGCAGAAGGATCATGAACTGGGTACCGGCAGGCCAAGAGAGAAAGGTATAAACACCAAAGTCAGTGAGCCAGAAGCGCTTAGCGGGTGTCTAGGGGCTGAGCCTGAGCGGGTGCGGGCAGGGAAGCTGCCGTACGTGACCAGGAAAAGTCAAGGAGAGCAAGATCCAACTTCTTCTGAACGCTGAGCTAGAGACTTTGAACTTTATTCTGCAAGTACCAGGGAGCCTAAGAAACGCCCTGATGCGTGGGTCCTTTGGGGACATGGTTATTGGTTGCCCTGGGAGAGTCAAGGAACCAAAGGCAGGGAGACTGGTTTGGAAGCAATTTTAATCATACACGTTGGGAGGAGTTAAGGGCTTGAAGAGCAGGGAACAGAGGAGAGAATTCTAGAGACCTTGCAAAGTTCAGCTCACTTACAACAAACATTCTGCCGAGGCTGTGTTCTCAGCACTTGTGTGTCTCATGAGATAGGTTGTTTATTACACATCTTATATTTCATAGAAAATATACAGAGAATATGATATATTATTAGTATCAAAAGTTGTTTATATAACAGTATGCAGCTAGATAAAGGTGGGGAACCTCACATCTCAGGGAAGTTCCATCTCTCTGTCTTATATTAATACTTTAGAGATCTGTAAGAGTCTAGTTGAAACCAAGAATCTGTGGGAAACACCAGAAAGGTGTGAAGACAACGATCTTAAGGAAATGACAATTAAATAAATACATACACATATATAAAACATATGACTTAGATATATTTATTTATATGTGTATATTTTATATTCCCACATATAATAATATATGGAGCATGCTTATATGGACCATATAAACATATATGTATAAATGTGTGTGTATATATATAGATGTGCATATGTATGGCTATATATTACATATTTTTGTTATATATCTTGTTTGGTTTAGTTGCTAAGTCATGTCCAACTCTTTTATTACCCCATGGACTGTAGTCCACCAGGCTCCTCTGTCCATTGGATTTTCCAGGCAAGAACACTGGAGTGGGTTGCCATTTCCTTCTCCATGTTATATACCTAAAAGTATGTAATACGTATATCTCAACACATAATGAGGAACATTATTATGAAGGCACTTGATCTGAATATCTTCATAACAGTTTGGGTTTATCTGCCAAGTCCAACCCCACAATGCCTGGTCACTGGAGTGCAGGGCACACAGTAGGCACCCAACAATGATGTATTAAATGAACGGACTGGTGGACTGGCATGGACACCAGGAAATGCCAACATCCCGTACATCTGGCTTTGGAATGTGTTCTGGGAGGGTGACCCCTGAGTTCGAATCTATGCTGAGAAAAGCTGCCTGGAGGGGCCGCCGGAAGCTGTCATCCTCTTGTTGGCCCCTGGATCAGTTCTACTTGGCAACTTGCTTCTGTTTTCTGACTGCTTCTGAATACTTCTGTCTAAAGGATGCATCTTGCTGGACCGAATTTGGTGGGTTTCATGAATGACAGAAAAGTAAACAGAGGAAGTCAGGCAGCCAGTGAGGATGGAGTGAAATGTTTTGAAGCGCCAGAGCATCAAGCATGTCTCTGTGAAGAATAAAGACTAACAGCCTGAAGAGTGTTCTGGCAGCCCACCCAGGGCTCAAATCGGACCACGTAAAGTGGGCTTGATAAAGAGACTTTACAAAGGCGTGAATGGGATATGAACACCTCAAAGGACAGTGCAAGGCCCTGAGGCGAGGAACAGCAGAGAGAGGCTACCAGCCCCAAGCCTGAGGGGCCAAGGCAGTGGTTTCCAGAACACAGAGTGGGCTGCCCCATCGGGCGGGCTGCTGCATGGAGCTGGGGTCTGCAGTGGGCACTTGTGATGCTCTCAGTGAGTCATGCTGTGTTCCGTCAGCCGCTTTTGTGCCTGGATCTCTCGTTGGATGGGGAGCTCCCGGAGGGCACTGGGGTTTCTCTGCTGTTTGCCCAGCACCTACTATCTGTTCAACTCACTGAGACTCTGTGCTCCTCCCCCATAGCTTGAGGAACATCATTTTTACCGTCTTTCCGTGAGACCTGCGCTAAGCAACTGCAGGAGTCAAAGCCCGCATAAATGTGAACTGTTCTCACCAGGTGTTGCCGAGGGTGAATGAGCTCCCTCGCTGAGCCTGTGTCCTCACTAGACGGCGACGACACGGACAGCCGTGCTGGTTTACTGGCCGGCATGACCACTGAACGATGTTACATTTGGAGGGTTCAATGGCAGCACCCAGTGTTTGTCAGTTACCATTACTGACATCAGGCCACCGCCTTAGATGGGAACGTGGTACTTCCACAAAAGGCCTTTGGGACTTTAGATAATTTATAGTCTAAACTAAATGCCTTCTTTGGTTCTTTCAAGTGAAAACAGGCATATGGAATGATGAAACCCATATACCACAGCTTAATCTGCAAATAAACACACACAAATACTGGAAGGAGAATTACTAAGATTCTCAGGGCGCTATTTTTGGCTGATGAGAAAGAATTTTTTCCCCCTATTGATTTTAAGATACTTTCCAAGTTTTTGTGAGTTTACACTGCTTTGAAATGAAAGCATACAAAATGAACTTTCTTAAAAAGAAAAACAAAATTCGTATCTGGATAGAAGACAGCTTTTCAATATGAGTGTCTCTGGGGTAATTTTTTTCAGAAATGTAAATTTTTCTGCAAATGTAATGATAAATGATCCTTTTGTATACCTCAATTTGCCCCAGAAGCTGCGGGAAGTTTGTCTAGGAGTAAAGATATATCCTTTGAATTTTCTTCCAGTTTATTTAAAATTTTTTATTGAAGTAGGATTAATTTACAATGTTGTGTTAGTTTCAAGTGTATAGCAAAGTGATTCAGTTATAATATATATTCTTTTTCAGATTCTTTGCCATTATAGGTTATTATAAGATATTGAATATAGTTTCCTGTGCTATACAGTAGGTCCTTGTTGTTTACCTGCTTTATATATAGTAGTGTGTATCTGTTAATCCCAAACCCCTAATTTATCTCTCCTCAGTCCCCTGTAGTTCATTTTTATTACTATTTTTCATTGCTTTGTGGGTGCACAGGATTGATTGTGAATATTTTTGCTGTCTTTAGGAGCCTTATTATTATTTGGACATTTATCAATTGGAAATTTATCTATTATTAGCACATCTATCAATTGGAAAAAACCCTTACATCTCAAGATTGAAAATGAGTTGTATGATTTCCGGACAAGCCACCTATATTGAAAAGAACTAACAAAAGAATTATGAAGTTATTCTTGGAAGTCCAACACCTATTATTGTTTTTTCTGTAAGCTACTATTTTTTTCTGTTTCAAATACATGTTTATAGCTGAAAACTTGAAAACCACAAATATTCCTAAACCAGGAAAATAAAAATCCTCAGTAAATTCCACTAATCAAGAAAAACAATGGTTAACTTTTAAAGAGCATCTTTCTAGTCACTTTTCTATATTAAATGTCTTTCCCCCTCAATGGATCATATACATATGACTCTGTATGCTACTTTTCCTCATTTATTAGCATATTTATGAAAATTTTTAACATAAGCATCATTTTAAAGAGTTGTATAGTTTCTCACTTTATAAATGTACCAGCTCTATTTACAATACCCT